CCTTCATTTCTTTGCACAGGATGTCCCCCAAGCTTGAAATGTTCTCCCCATTCTCACCTCTGTTTAGTTCTTTTCAAGGCTCAGCTCAAGTAATATCTCTTAATAAGGGTTTTCCTGACTCCCCTCCCTCATTTCTTACCATTTTCCACTTTCAAACCCAAACCCATTAGCTATATATCTATCTGTACGTATAGACATATACCGTATAGTGCCCCCTCCAGATAACAACAAGAATTAGAGGATTAAAAAGTCTAAAGGGCTTGGGGGCCCTTCTATTCCTGTTAATTTGGGAAGAGTGAGGGCTTCCTTAAAGAAGCCCATGCAGTTAAGTAAAACAGATGGGGAAAGGAGGAGGACTGCTCAGCATCCATGCTTCTAGAAGACCCCTCCCAAGTCCTGAACACTCTGGGGCAGGGATCTGAGCAGAGGTGCTAGGAAGCCTGAGCAGAGACAATTGGTGGGGATGGGGAGAATGTAGCAGGCAAAGAGGAATGCAGGAAATTGAGAAAATCCACCAGCCTTCCCCAAAGATAAACTTATTTTTTGTTCCTTCTTGAGAGCTAGTTAAAGCAAGCCAGAGTGTGGAAGCTTTCTACTTTCGGTTTCTATGCTATTTAAAATGTTATTATATGGCCAGCTGCCATTCATTCATTATCTCTGACTGTGAGCAATAGGAATGAAAAGAAAGCACAACCCACTGAGGAGAGATTCTGATTATTTTGCTCAACCTTTGGCTGAGAGAGGGCCAGTGTAGATATCTGCACCTTCTCCACGATTTAGATTTTAGAGATTTGTCTACAGAACTGCGAGGTTTGATGGCCTCCCCAGAGCTACACTGCCAGTATGTTTCAGAGGCAGTATTTGAATCCTAGCCTTCCTAGCTTTAAGGGCAGCTTTTGATATAAAGTTGTCTCCAGCACATAGTAGATTCTTCATGAATACTTGTTTAATTGATACATATTCATACTGTAGTGCCATCACTCACATCAATTCCCCTGGTAATTGTTGGCCCAAGGTATTTATCATTCTCCAAACAGTTTCATCAAGACTCTACAGAAATCTCCCCACCTCCAAAAAACTTGGGTCTTAACTATAATAGCATAGCACTTCAAGACTGATTGGATATGGGAGGTGAGAGAGAATGAAGAGTTGAATGTGAAACCTAAGTTTTGAGCCTGGATGATTGGGGAGGTTGGTGGTAACCTCAACAGTAACAGTGAAGTTAACAAGAGGAGAGGATTATTTTTTTTTTGAGGGAGAGATAATGAGTACATTTTTGGACATGTTGAGTTTAAGATGTCTATAGGACATCCAGTTCAATATGTCTAATAAGCAGTTGGGAGAGATACTAGGACTTGGATAGGTAGATTTGAGAATCATCAGCAGAGAGATGATAACTGAATCCATTAGAGCTGATGATATGACCAAAGGAAATAGCATGGAGGAAGAAAAAAAAGGTGATCCAGGACAGAACCCCATGGGACACCCACAGTGAGTAGACACAACCTGGATGAAGATCCAGCAAAATAGAAAAAAGAAAGGTCAGATATATAGGGGAGTACCAGGAGAGAGTAGTATCATGAAAACCTGGAAATTATCAGGGAGAAGAGGTAATGAACAGTGTCAGAGGCTGCAGAGAGGTTATAGATGAGGATCAAGAAAAGGCCATGAGATTTGGTAGCTAAGGAATCATTGGTGACATCTGAGAGAGCAGTTTCAGCAGAATAGTTAAGATTAGAAGTCTGTCTGTAGTTAAGAAGAGAATGAAAAGAAAGGAAACGGAAAGACCTATTGTAGACAGCTTTCTCAAAGAGTTTTCACCAAAGGGAGGAGACGTATCTGACGATAACTACTGTGAGTTTTTTGAGGATGGGGGAGACATGGATATATTTGTAGGCAGGCGGGAAGCAGCCAGCAGGCAGGGAGAGACTGAGAATATTTGAGAGAATGGGGATGAAAGAGAGAACAATCTGCTAGGGAAGATGGGATGGAATGGGATAATTTGTACATGTAGAGGGATTTGCCTTGTCAAGGAGAAAAGCCACCTCATTATATGAGATGGCAGTGAAGGAGGAGATAGTGGCAGGTATAATCTGTATGATTTGAGATGAGGAGGAGAGAAGAGGGAATGGCCTCATTTTTTTTTTCAATAAAATATGAGGCAAGATTCTCAGTTGAGGGTGGGGTAAGGGAGCCATGGCAGGTTTGAGGAGGGATGAAAAGGTCCCTTCCAGCTCCAAATCCATGCTCCTGTTAGAAACAGCTGGGACTGATATATGGATGAAATAGTCAGATGCACAAAAGCCTGCCCCATCTACCTCTGACCAGAGATGGATGATAACCTCAAAGTAGAAAGACATTCTTGTGTTAGGGGTAATAGGAAGAAGGTTAACATGCAGTCCAACTTGCTTCTCTCCCTCTGCTGGGAGGTAGATGGGACCAACTTTTGCTTCTTTCCCTATCTCACCTATAGACTGGAAAATAGCTGGACAAACTGTGGTAAAGAATGTAATGGGATATTCTGGCAATGTAAGAAATGATGGATATGAAGAATTGAGAAAAACATGGGAAGATTTACATGAACTGATGCAGAGTAAAGAAAATATAACCAGGAAAACAACATATGTAAAGGCTGCAACAATGTTAAAAGAAAGAGCAATAACAGAAAACTAAATGCTGGTGTAATTATAATGAACAAGTTTCGACCAAGGGAAGACATGAGAAAATACATCTTCCTTCCTTCATTGCAGAGGTGAGGAATTATGGGTATGGTATATTGCATATATTTTTATGTGCTGATAATTTTTTCTAAATTTTTTTATCTTTGTGACAAAGAGAATAATGGATGGGGAAAGAGGAGGGGATGTATTCAGAAATTAATGTTATACAAAAACAAAAGACACCATTTTTAATGCTTCAGGAAAAAAAAAATAAAATTAAGCAAAGAAATCTCCACTATCCAGAAGAGAATTCCAGACAGCTTCATTTTCTTGTATATGTTTAATGAAAGCAAAAGTTGACAATGACAGTTGGAAAATTTCTCACCCAGAATGAAATAACCCAGCTTGTAGTACCAACTTCCAGAGCTTGTAGTACCAAATTCCTGAACCTGAAAGAAGTGTCATCCAATGAACTAGAGAAATAACATTGTTACCTTAGTAAAGAGCAATCCATGAATGCAGGCAAACTAAATTCAATCTAACTAACATTTATTAGCCACCGACTATATGCAATTAATTATACATTAAAAGAATAGAAATAAAAGCAATCTCTGCCCTCAAGGAAATTAAATTCTAATGTAATCACATTATCTATAGCTAGAAAGAAATTTGAAGGTTATCTATTCCAGACTCCTCATTTTATAGAAGAGGAAACTGGTGCTCAGAGAGGCTAAATAATTTACCCAAGACCATCTACAGAATAAGTAGTAAAGTCAGGTTCCTTAATCCTGAATCCAGGTTCCTTAATTCCAAATTTGTAGCATACAAATATGTATATTTAATATAACATGAGGCAGGACATTGCACTAAGGACTAGGTAGGATCAGGAAAGGTTTTATATAAGAAATGGCACCCTCAAGGACACTAAAGATTCTGAAAAAGAGTGAATTCCAGGTACAATCAATAGTAGATAAAATGCCGAGTGAGTTTGGTGAGCACAAGGAGGCTGGTAGTGCCAGTACATAGAGCATGCCAAGAGGATTAGTAGGACAGGTTTGGAAAGGTAGTTTGGAGTCATACTGTGGAAGGCCTTTAAATGCCAGGTTGAGGAGTTGGTATTTTGCTTCTGTCACTTCTCCCTGTGTGGCCTTGGGTTAGTGACTTAATCTCTTTTCAAGATGAGATGGTTGAGGCAGATGACTTTTGAATTCCCTCTCAGGTCCCTAGATCTACGATCCTATGAATTATAAAGGCAATATGGAGTAAGGAAGTTTGGGAGCAGAGGAGTGTGGCATGGCAGGGGCTTCGGTAAGATTTGTTTGGTAGCTTTGTGAAGCATGGAGTGGAGAGAGAGAGAGAGAGAGAGAGAGAGAGAGAGAGAGAGAGAGAGAGAGAGAGAGAGAGAGAGAGAGAATAGGTGTTGGGAGACCAATTCAATAAGTTTTCAATTTACCCTGGTAAAATATAAAGGTAAAAAAGGGTAGGAATCAGGGCTTCTGAAACCCCCAAGTGCCATGCGGCCCTAATAAGAATAAAGTCTTGACCTAATCCTAGCACATGTGATGTGGTTCCGTTCACGCTATGTGGGATTTATTTTCTCCCTCTCTTCACTCTACGTCCTGGGTCTGGACACAGGCAAGACCTGGAAAGGGTAACGGAGCGCGGAGGGGGCTGGGGGAGAGAAAAGAAGCCAGAACTGGGACCAGCTTTCCTCCCCTGCCTCAGAAAGGAATGGATGAATCCAAGATGGGCAGCATGTTTCCAATAAGAAGTTAAAGCAAAAGGGCAAGAGGAGAGACACTCCGATACGACAGAAAAAGTTATTTTCAGCCCTACAAGAAACAAAGAAATAAAATAACCAAGACAGGGATGGAGGAAGGTCACTCGCTAGCCTTCCCCACTCCTCTCTCCTATTAGTACTTATTCTCTCTCTCTCTCTCTCTCTCTCTCTCCTCTCTCTCTCTCTCTCTCTCTCTCTCACACACACACACACACACACACACACACACACACAGAGACAGAGAGACAGAGACAGAGAGAGGAGAGACAGAGACCACCCGGAATAGAGCCCAGGCCACGTGTGACTGAAACATCTCCCCTATCCTCAGATCACTTCCCTACCTCAGGATAAAGTGAAAAGGGAGAGCATGCCCCCTTTGGCAGCTAGAGCTGTGGTCCAAGATGGGGCAGGCTGGGGGTCCCCCCACCCTTAACCTTTCCAGCTCCCTCTCCCAAGGCTGCAGCTGGTTCACCCGGCTTGAGGTTTCGAGCGCATCCCCAAGGCCGATCCCCGTCCTCATTCCCATCCCGCCCGTGTTTCGGGGACCAGGTCTTCCTTACCTTGCTCTGGGACTCTTGATGCTTTGGGGCATGCACTGGGAGCCCCCGCGGTCGCTTCTAATCTCTGCTTTGAAAGCTTGGAATTCAAAGAAGCAAATTGGGGGGGCGGGGAGGGGCGAAAGGAGGAGGAGGAGATGTTTGCTGAACTTTTGTGGGACGCCACGCCTCTTGCTCCCACGACCAATCTACTCTCACACTGAGGGAACAACCTTCCTCCTCCACCAATTGGAGGCACTGGCAGGTGTTATGTCATGCCCTCTTGGTTTCTGGATCTGTGACCTGCGGGCTTTGCTCTCGGGGTCGCATTTCTTAGAGCACACAGTTCTTATTGACCAGATTTGTTACAGTCCTTGGCACAGTGGAACGGACTCTGGGAGTGGCGTGAATAGAAATGAACTCGAAAACCCAGTTCTTACTAACGGCGAAAACGTGCATATATGCATCAGTTTTACTCTTCACCATCAACCCCAAATGTTTGTTCAATGCCCATTACCTTCAATATACTGAGGGCGGGGTGGGGAGGGAAGATCCCTAGTGTTTAGAGAGGCAAGACGTTGTAGGGGTAAGGGCTTTAACCTAGGGTTGTTCATATGTTAATTGTATGACTGAGAAAGTTATAACCTACCTGGAACTCACCCTAAAATGGAAATGCCATTGAACCTTCATTGAACATCTCTATCCATATGACCAGAGGGAAATGAATTGCATGAAGAACACCAGCTCACACCCCAGGTAGCCTCTATGGTCGTTTGTGACTAGACAAAGAACTTTGAATAACATCGGACCAGAAAGTGAAATTTGGTAGGACGTAGAAACTATCTACAATGAGTTGATATACTATCTACAATGGGAAATGCAGTCAGTCAACAAGCATTTATAAAGTGATTTGGGTGATACAAAAGAGCACTGTGGTTACAAAAACAGATAAGAACATGGTGCCTGCCCTAGAGAAGCTCACTTTTTTTGGGGGGGGGTGAGGCAATTGGGATTAAGTGACTTGCCCAGGGTCACACAGCTAGGAAGTGTCAAGTGTCTTGTCTGAGACCAGATTTGAACCCAGGTCCTCCTGACTCCAGGGCCCGTGCTCTATCCACTGTGCCATTTAGCTGCCCCAGAAGCTCATTTTCTAGTGAAGGAGACACCATGCAAACAACTACTTACTTATAGAATATGTGCAGTGTACATAGGAGGTAATGTCTGGGAAAAGGCACTTATAGTGCCCACTTGTAGTGGGGAGAGACCAGGAAAAGATGGGATTTGAACGGTCTTGAAAAAAGCCACGCCTTGAGCTATTACTTAAGCTGTCTCTCTCCCTGAATAATTTCTGAGTTCCAGATGAGCCTTTCCATTTGCAGGATAGACATCTATGCCCCTGTGAATGTTACATTGATACCTCAAACTCAACAAAATCAATCATTCTCTTTTCCTAAAAACACACTCTTCTTTATGCTTTCCATATTGCAGTGAAAGCCCTTCAAGTCACCCAGGCTTGATACCTCAGTCATCTTTTACTCTTACCACCTTTAATTCATGGAGTAATTTTAATCCATTCAGGTTTGGAACTGCCACCCCAGAACTAAACAGTTCTTATTGGTGAGTTAGAAGTGCAAACTTATGTGGCCCTGCTATTTCTAGCCTGCTCCTGAACATGCTTTGCATAACATTCAGCCATGACCACGGCCACCTTCTCACCATCTGCCTTACTACCCAACTCACCTCTCCCCATCCCTTTTCCAAGTCTTGAATATTTCTTTTGGGAAACCTTACTTGATGCCCCAGTTGCATGTGATTTCTTTATCCTCACATCTTTTAGAAAACTTTTGTGTCTCCTCTGCACTCACTGAGCTTCTATTTTTTAAAATTTGGTTTACTTGTATTCGTGTTTTGCCTCTCCTACTAGACTGCAAGCTTGTAGAAGTCAGGAGTGTAGTTTTATTAATCTGTGTACATCCTTCAGCATCTAGCACAATTCCTTGCACAGAAAGGATAGAAGACCTATGTTCCATTATCTTTGATGGAGAACATTGTTTGCTTTGATAGTTTTTGCAAATATTTTCTATTTTTGTTCTGTTTATAATCTTTCTGTTGCCATCCTTTATTACCTTTGGGATACCTCTGCTTACTTGGCTATCTTGCTCAGCTTTTTTCACCTTCCATTGTTTCTCTCTGCTTTATGAGATGATACTACTCATAATCCCTTCCATCATCCTTGTTTGCAAGATTTTACAAAAGAGTTTATATTCTAACCTGGTGTTACTTTTGGCAGCCATGTCTCTTTGGCAAGTAAACCAAATGTTTGCTGACTGAGCTTCCTTCTGGGTTCCTTTGATCTTCTCCTTGTGATTTTGCATAGGCTTAACTTCTGGATGAAATTGTTATTGTTATTGTTGATGTAATTTCTGTTGGCATTTCATGTTTTTTGATTTTCAATAGTTTGTGTAAATAATTCAGGTTAAAGCTTAATTATATACTATATATTTTCCTCATTACTATTCTTTCTTCTTGTTTATTATTAATTCAATCTTAGCTCTGACAAGTCAGTGGTCTGACTGTGCACAGACAGCTGGCTCAGGGATAATTTCCACATCCAAAATAAGTCTTTCTTTGTCTGCTAAAATGTAGTCCATTTCATTCTTTGTAAGGTCATTTGATATTTGCAATATCCACCATCTACCAATTCTTTTTTGAAAAAAGTTATTATAATACAGAAGCATGAGGCTTCTACAAATCTAAACAAAATCTAAATAAACTACAAATCTTTGGCCCTTCTCATTTCTTTCTCCTGAACCACATTTTCCAAAATATTTCTCCACATTCTCATCTTTGTCAAATATCAGAGTATATGTTGATTTGAATTAGAAGGTCTTACCAAGTAACAAAGTTACTAAGTAATAGATTATATGCTGATTTGATTTGGAGGGTTTTCTCAAGTTCTTCATATGATTGCTCTACCTCTTCATCCTTTGTCACTGCTGTTGGCACATGAGCAATAATTATTTTCATAGTGGTCTTTTTGAAAATACAGAGCCGGGAAAATAACATGCATAATGAATACAACAATGTAAATAGGAAAGATGTGAAAACAAAAGTGAACATTGTGTAATTATAATAACCAATTTGACCTCAGAGAAGAGTTGAAACTTCATCTCCCTCCCTTTTCTGCAGAGGTAGGGACTATGACTATGGCGCATTGAATTGGGTCAGACTCAGTTGAACAATTGATGTGTTAGTTAATTTTGCTGAAATGTTTTTTTTTCTTTTCTCTCTCTTTTTTTTATTCATTGTTAAAAGGGATGGGTCCCTGGGAAGGAGTAGTTTCATTAAAAAGTGAAACAAAAATGAATCAATAAACTTTTAATTAAAAATAAATGAAATTATAAAAGAACAATGTTACTAGTTTTTGTTCTAAGGAAAACTTCCACATTTATATAGTAATTTCTTCCATTGCCAGTGCAAGGCAGAGTTGGGAGATGGAGGTGCTGTGCACGAGAAAAAGCAAGGCCAGTGGATGGAGAGAAAGAGGGATAATATACAGTAAGGCCATATAATGTTTATAAAGAGCATTATTGTATAATAGTGAAGACTGGTGATGGACCTGCGAATTATTCTAACCATCCCGCAAAGTGATTTGGAATTATATATAAAGTTACTAAACAGTGCATGTCTTTTGACCTAGCAGTACTACCGCTAGGCCTTTACACAAAAGAAATCAAAGTAAAAGGAAAAGACCCTTTATGTACAAAAAATATTTATGGTAGCTCTTTTTGTGATGACAAAAAAAAAAACTGGAAACTAAGGTGATGCCCATCAATTGAGGAATGACTGAATAAAATGTGGCATACGAATTTTTTTTTAATAGAAAGGTGTGGGGGGTGGCGAATGTTGAGAAAGGTTACATGCACTTTCACATGAGATCACCACGTTGTTAATTTTACTTTTAACTGTTTTATTTTTGTTACAAGAGTCCTCTTGGGGCCGCTAGGTAGCACAATGGATAGAGCACCCGCCCTGGAGTCAGGAGGACTTGAGTTCAAATCCAGCCTCCGACACATAACACTCACTAGCTGTGTGACTCTGGGCAAATCACTTAACCCCAATTGCCTCACCAAAAAAAAAAATATAATTGGGAAAAATTACCAACAGATAAAACACAATAAAACATAGATAACTTTATATTAAAAAAGAGACCTCTCAAAGTGAGAGTAATGTATAAATGTAATTAATGTAAAAATAAAACATGTAAGTAATGCTTTTTAAAAATAGCACATGGAAAGGGAAGTGATACGGCTCAAAAACGTGGTTAAAATCAGGTTGTGAATGGCTTTAAAACCGAAAAAAAAGGGGTTTATATTTTGTGCTTAAGGCTATAAAGAGCCACTGGAGTTTTTTGAATACGGGAGATGACATGATCAGATCTTCACTAAAGAAGAGATCTCATTACTTTACAGTCACAGTGTATATTCACATCCCATATAGTACATTTATTAAAATCACATGATATTTTCAAATCAAATTAATTTTAAGACACCTTTTGAGATAATTGGATATCCCTAGTGTGTTAGAAAGCCAGTACTGGAAATCACTGTTTTATGTATTCTTTCCAATATGTAAAACATTTAACTCTCTTAGTTGGCACACCAACTCAAGCTGTTAATGCTTTACCATATGCGAATCTGATTGTGTGAAATACAAAACTGTTTATATCCCAAAAAAGGAGTAACGTTCGTGTTCCTAAGATATTGTTTCTCCCTCTGTGTCTGTCTGTCTGTCTGTCTCTCTCTCTCCTTCCACTAATACAGATTTATCATTGCTGTAACTACAGTCTTAGAGAATATCCTGAGACACTGAGAAATTAGGTAATTTGCCCAAAAGCTTGGACTCTACAGCTAGTTAGAACAGTGGATGAAGTGCTGGACCTGGACTCTAGAAGACCTGAATTCAAATCCTGTCTCAGACCCATTTACCAGCTGTATGATCATGGGCAAACCATTTAAATTTCATCTGCCTCAGTTCTCTTCTCTGTAAAATGAATATAATAATAGTGCCTACTTCAAAGATAATATTTGCCAATTGCTTTGTAAACCTTA